ATTAGTCCTGGTTTAGTCCTTGTTTACTCCTGGTGGCGTGTGCGTTTCAGATTTTTTTTTTTTTTTTTTTTAACAAAACTTAAACTACAAAGCAAATGCCTGAACTTTGCTCGTGAGGTCAGTCCCAACAGTTTACTGGAAATAAAACTATAATCTGTTTTAAATTTCTTCCTTAATCTCGTTTTAAATAGGATTACACGTCTTGACTTTAAACAGTAGGGAGTATTCGTCAGCTGAAGTTTAGTCTCACCAACGTCCTCTTCGTCTTCTTATAAACACCGGAATATATTTGCGCTTTGTCATTCGCCGAACAAAACGCTCCTTTCTCATGACTCGGCGGCGAGGAGAGGGAGACTTCCAACCTTCCTGGCACTATCTCGTGATTGAGTCAAGCTGCAGCCCTCGAGAATTCATACGGGACGGTTCCGACCCCCACCGCTTTTTAGGTCTCCCCTCCGCTCCCATGCGCCACATCTTTTTTCACTTCTCGCTAAGTCTTTCCCAAACGGTGATTCAGGCCGCTTCCAGAAACCCTCTAATCTCTTTAGGAATCCTGCTTTCACGAGATCAAGTTTTGTTTACGTTCAGTCGGCTGCGGTTTAGTCGGTTACGGTGTCGCTGAAGTTAACTTTTAGTTGTAGTCCTCGGTTTAGTCCTGGCTGTTTTCGTTAGTCCGGGTTTAGGGTCTTTAGTCCTTTAGTCCTGGTTTAGTCCTGGTGTAGTAGTCTGGTTTTAGTCCTGGTGTCCTGTTGTTTAGTCCTGGCTCAGTCCTGGTAGTAAGTTTGTTTAGTCCTGGTTTAGTCCTAGGTTTAGTTTAGTCCTTGTTTAGTCCTGGTTTAGTCCCAGTCCTGGTTTAGTCCTGGTGTTTAGTTTAGTCCTGGTTTAGTCCTGGTTTAGGTCTGGTTTAGTCCTGTTTAGTCCGTTTAGGTTTAGTCCTGGTTGTAGTCCTGTTAGTCCTTAGTCCCTGTTTAGTCCTGGTTTAGTCCTGGTAGTTTGTTTAGTCCTGTAGTGTTTAGTCCTGTTTAGTCCTGGTTTAGTCCTTGTTTAGTCCTGGTTTAGTTTAGTCCTATGTTAGTCCTGGTTTAGTCCTCCTGTAGTGTTTAGTCCTGTGTTTAGTCCTGGTTTAGTCCTGTTTAGTGGTTTAGTCCTGGTTTAGTCCTGGTTTAGTCCTGGTTTAGTCCTGGTTTAGTCCTGGTGTAGTCCAGTCCTTTAGTCCTGGTTTAGTCCTGGTTTAGTCCTGGTTTAGTCCTGGTTTAGTCCTGGTGTATGTAGTCCTGTAGTGTTTAGTCCTGGTTTAGTCCTGTGTAGTCCTGGTGTAGTTGTAGTAGTCCTTAGTTTTAGTCCTCCTGGTTGTAGTGTCCTGGTGTTTAGTCCTGGTGTGTTTAGTCCTGGTGTAGTCCTGGTTTAGGTAGTCCTGGTTTAGTCCTGGTTTAGTCCTGGTTTAGTCCTGGTTTAGTCCTGGTTTAGTCCTGTTTAGTGTTTAGTTTAGTGGTTTAGTCCTGGTTTAGTCCTGGTTTAGTCCTGGTGTAGTCCTGGTTAGTCCTTAGTTTAGTGTAGTCCTGTTTAGTCCTGGTTGTAGTCCTGTTTAGTCCTGGTGGTGTAGTCCTGTTTAGTCCTGTGTAGTCCTGTTTAGTTTAGTCCTAGTCCTGGTATGTAGTCCTGGTTTAGTCCTAGTGTAGTCCTGTTTAGTCCTGGTTAGTCCTGTTGTAGTTTAGTCCTGTTTAGTCCTGTAGTGTTTAGTCCTGGTTTAGTCCTAGTCCTGGTTGTAGTTCTGGTTTAGTCCTGGTGTAGTCCTTGTTTAGTCCTGGTTTAGTCCTGGTGTAGTCCTTGTTTAGTCCTGGTTTAGTCCTGGTTAGTCCTGGTTTAGTCCTCCTGTAGTTTGTTTAGTCCTGTTTAGTTGTAGTCCTGGTTTAGTCCTGGTGTAGTCCTGGTTTAGTCCTGGTTTAGTCCTGGTGTAGTCCTGGTTTAGTCCTGGTGTAGTCCTGGTTTAGTCCTGGTGTAGTCCTGGTGTAGTCCTGGTTTAGTCCTGGTGTAGTCCTGGTTTAGTCCTGGTTTAGTCCTTGTAGTCCTGGTTAGTCCTGGTTTAGTCCTGGTGTAGTCCTGGTTTAGTCCTGGTGTAGTCCTGGTTTAGTCCTGGTGTAGTCCTGTGTAGTCCTGGTTTAGTCCTGGTGTAGTCCTGGTTTAGTCCTAGTGTAGTCCTAGGTTAGTCTCCACCAGTAAAGTTGCACAATGTCAAATCAAAATGTCTTTAACGTGGCTTAGTGCAGACATGTTAAACTCAGGTCCGGGGGCCAAATTTGGCCCGCAATATAATTATATTTGGCCCGCAAGATCATCTAAAATCTGTATTAGAGCTGCCCACCGGCTACAGATCGACTATAGAGAGAATATTTATTTAAAACTTTATTATTTTATATTTTGCTTGTTCTGGATTTAATTTTTAAGCAAAACTATTATTAAACTTTTATTTTAATAAGAAAAGGTTTAACATCTTAAAAGAAGAGAAAACAGGCAGATGTTGTTGAAATTTTTCAACAAATATTTAGTTTGGCCCACGACTTAGTCCCAGTTTTTAATTTTGACCCTCTGTGGATTTGAGTTGGACGCCCCTGGCTTAGTGGTTCACTCACTGATTCTACAGAAATGTTTTTCCGTTAGGGCTGTGCCAAAAATCAAAAGATCAATAGATTGTAATCTCTTCTCTGCTTGATGATAAGACCTGTGTGTTTTAATCGACAGATCAACAGCCAATTATGCAGCAGTAAGAACGCGTGGAGCTAAAAGGGTTTCTGCTCTTGTTTAGGAAAAAGCACCTGAGCCACAGTGTGCCTCTTTTTGTCTCCTCACATGTTCACAAATTCTGACTTAAAGGTTGTATGGAGGATTTTTTAAAATATTTTTTCAAATTGTCAATGAAAGTTCAAAATAGAATTATAAAGAAGAAGCAGCCTTGTAATTACGATGACCAAAAAAAAAGAATGAAAATCCATCAACTGTGGACGTAGTGAGGGCAGATAAACATCAGCCAATAGATAACAAGGCTACCTCTTTATCTATTGGCTGTTAGGTTGTCAATCAAATTCCCTACGTTTCTAGCGTCGCTGACTTGCCGACGCGCTGGGATTGTGTGGTTTATGTTCACGGTTCATGTTTAGCGGTTCTTGGCGTCTTTTTTGAACTGTAGCTCTCAGTTTGCACAAATTTTGTTTTAATGGCAGAGAAGAATTCACGACCGGTTCGCCGCAAAAGAAAGTCAGTTTTTGATGTTGCTGAAAGAAGAAGAGAAGGGGAAAAGGTGCGAAGCGCAACATTTAAAAAAGGACAAACAGTTGCTGCATTTCTCTTTCCTTGGAAAATCTTCTATACAACCTTTAAATCTGCACAATTTGACCAAAAGTCCAGCCTCTCTGCCTCTGCCTCTGGTCCAACCCTCACCTTTTCCCTCCTCTGGTCTTTCTCATCTTTACAGTCCAAGTTAGTGAAAGTAAACAACTGTTTCCTCACTGTTTATGAATGAAACTTAAGTCCTAGTTTAACTCGGGGCTATCACACGTGTTTCTGTTTCTGTTGCCACATGTCTCTGCCGCTTGGGGTTTAATATATTCAGCAAACTCATTACAAACTTTATAAATGTGAAACTCTCTGGAATTATTTATTCTATCAACACAAAATAAACTGTAGTGACCCTGACACCCTGCCCTTTATGCCTGAAGTCCACATGTCTTTGTTTTTAATAAGATGGAAGAAGATCAAATTGAAAACTGAGATTGATCAATATGGGGAGAAAAAAAATGTTGATTCCTTTTTTTACCTCATATCGCCCAGCCCTGTTTTCAGCCATCTGTCATTTTTTTTCCTCTTTGTTTTTCCCAGTATGGAAGCACCAATAAAGACAAGTTAGTTTATACCTGATCAAGTTTTCTTTTTCATACATCACTGTGGTGGGGTTCTTCTAGAAAACTCAGGCTTAGTCAGGAAATGCTTTTCTGTGATTTATTGTGCTCTCCAACAGTGCAAAAAGGTGCCAAACGTGAGTGGAAAAATATTTACAGTGGTTGTGTGAAAAACAAAAAAAAATTAAAGTTCGAAAGGCAAACTAACAAAATAAGTTTTTGGTGGACTTCCCCTTTAAGTCCCACAGCGTTTGCTCGTTCACTCTCTGCACACGTTACCTTCCACTGTAACCTGGTCGCGGCTGCTGACAGAGCTGCAACTTTATACCCCCGTTTGCCCCTCCCACATTACATAATTCCCCCCAATAATCGTGATTTGCGCCGTTTCTTCTATTAAACGGCCTACGTTCCATAGCTCGATCGTTATACACCCGTAATACCTTACGATACCTTAATGTCCGAGAGACAGACAATCCATTTAATTGGCCATGCAAATGAATCTTTGCTCACCTGATTCCCTGAACCCGCGCGACGACAGGATTTAAGCTCCCAGCGCCGATGTGTCCGGGTTTGCCAGAACAAACCACAGAAGGAGGGCGAAGGCGGCGGCGCGAGGGTAAGTGACTGTCTGGTTTAGCGTGCTTTAGATGAACCGAACAAGCGCTTCTAAGTGTGCATCCTTAGTCGCGGCAAGACACGCAGGAGGTGTTGGGAAAATGTTATTTTAAAAAGTGATTTTGGTACGAAATGGTACGGCGAGCGATGCGCAATGAATACGGAAACGGGCGCGCGGGTCTTCACGTGCTCTCCCCAGGGACGGCGTTCTTAGGGACGGGCCTGCTCCGTCACAATCATTTATTTATATGCTTTATTTATACACAATTTTGATTCTTCATATGTTACGTAAGAAGAATTGACAATACATTTTTTTAATTGAATTTTTTTTTAATAAACAAAACAAAAAACAACCATAACAGCTTACATGAATTTAACTTCACTAGCAATTTCTACAAACAAAAACTCCCCACACCTGTCAGTATTTAGTTAACAATAATGCATATAATTATGACTATAACTGAATTCCCGTGTTGTCTTTTCTTGCTACAGACAGATGAAGGACCAGTCGAAGAAAGTGGCCAACCTCAAACACAAGGAGCAGCTGGAGAAGAGTCGGAACGCTCAGCTGATGGAGGAGGCCAAGAGGAGAGAGGACAACCTGAACGAGAGCTCCCAGCAGATCAAGGTACGGGACAACACCAAGGCCACATCTAAAAGGCCCATATTACTCTATTTTTTATGTTTATGTTTTATGTTATAATGTGGTTTCCTTGTCAAAAAACCCCCACTTTATCTTGAGATGACATACAGTAAACTAAAGGTAAAAGGAGCTGTTAACTTGAAAACTAGAGCTTCATAACATCACAAGGTGAATCAGAGCATTTTGAGCTTTTTTTTTTTTTTTTTTCTTGCCGCTCAGGGCTTCCGTACTTTAAAGATGTAGTCAGACTGATAATAAAGCGTTACTCAAACTTGTGTGAATTAAACAAAACACAACTCCAGGTCTGTTTTTGATGAAGTAACACCTCAAAAAAAGTTCATAAGAGTAAATTGTGTGTAATATACAGTGTTGGGGAGTAACAGATTACATGTACTGAGTTACGTAATCAGAGTACAAATTATGAGTAACTGTATTCAGTTACAGTTACTGTTTCAGTGAGTGGTAATTGGATTACAGTTACTTTGTTGAAATAAATGGATTACACAGCTGTATTTTCCCGTTTTCACGTTTCGGGATATATCTCTTTTTTTTTTTTTTTTTTTTCGGCAATTTTTTCGGCAATAAACCACCACTAAACCACTCAGGTCTCAGGTCTAAACCAAACCAGGTCTAGTCTAACCACTAAACCAGGTCTAAACCAGATCTAAAACCAGGTCTAAACCAGGTCTAAACCAGGTCTAAAACCAGGTCTAAACCAGGTCTAAACCAGGTCTAAACCAGGTCTAAAACCAGGTCTAAAACAGGACTAAACTAGGTCTAAACCAGGTCTAAAGCAGGACTAAAGTATGACTAAAACCAGGTCTAAACTGGGACTAAACTAGGTCTAAACCAGGACTAAACTACGACTAAACCAGGACTAAAACCAGGTCTAAACCAGGTTTAAAACAGGATTTAACAGGACTAAACCATGTTGCGTGGACCGTGGCTCCTCCTCTTCTATCAATAATATTTTTAATATAGTTCAGTAAAGTCTGGGCTTTTTATTTTCTTTTAGCAAACAAAATATCTTATGTTATGATTTCCTCGTCTTTGCTTCTCTACTGCAAATCAAGTAATCCAAAGTATTCAGATTACATTACTCACCTTAATTAATTTAATGGATTATGTTACAAACTACATTTTGGTGTATGTAATCTGTAATCTGTACGGGAATACATTTTAAAAGTCACCTTCCCAACAAAACTATACCTAGAAAAACAGACATTCTGACTGTGAGTGAGGTCGCCTCTCCACAGATCTGACCTGTATCTTGGTCTGGGTTTGGTCTCCACGAAGGTAGAACGGTTTAACGCCGTACTGCGAAACATTCCAGACAAAGCAACGGCATCCCCACGGAGAGTAAAGCAACTGACGCACACCTTCACCCGAAAAGTTACACAATGCACCTTTAAATCGAAAAGTATAGCTCTAAAGTTCCTTCCTTCCTTCCTTCCGCCTGCGTCCTTGCTCCAATCTTTCCTCCATCACAACAAACCTTTTCAGTGACGTGACAATTATGACAGGATCAGCCCGAGGCAAAGTCAGCCAGCGTCTCCTCTCGCGGGGGAACGCCAGCGAGAGGTGAGCCGCCGCGCTGATTGACAGCAGAGGGGCGAGCGCGATTGCCTTATATGGGCGCAGAGGTGACAGGAAGAAGAGAGATGGATAAAAGTCAAGTGCAGAGGAATGACGGATGGAGACGGCAGACAGGGGCCACAGGCTGAGTGTGCGCTGGATACAGTCGGTTTCAAAATAATGGGACAGGATTTATTTTACACTTTTCGCTTTACGTCTTGGACCTTCCTCATTAAGAGCTATGCAGGTGTTTGTGGGTTATGGAAATTTACCACGGTTGCCATAGCGATTAAAGGTCCAATATTACACCAAGTTGACTCTTGTGAGGTTTTAGCCAGGTTAGAAAGCTGTAATCTCTTCCAAAAAAGACCTGGAGTTGTGTTTTGTTTAAATCATACATGTTTGAGTAACCCTTTGTCTACATCTCCAAAGTACGGAAGCCCTGAGCGGCAAGCAAAAAAAAAAAAAAAGAAGCATAATCTGGACTCCATTTCATTTTCTAAGTGTTTTTTTTTTTCCCACCAACAAAAATTCTTGCTTTTTTTTTTTTAATATATGTTTTTAAAATATTTCTTTTATTATTATTATTTTTGCACAAACATATATATTTTTTTGTACTGTTGCTGTGGCCAATGGGAAAACCCCTAATGATGTTTTTTTTTTTTTTTTTTTTTTACCAACAAAAATTCTTGCCTTTTTCTTTTTTTTTTTTTTCTTTTTGCACCAAAAAAAAAAAAAAAAAAAAAAAATGTTTCGTGTCTTATTATTATTATTATATATTTTTTTTCTTCACAACCATTTTTTTTCCTGTTGATGTGGCTGGTAATATTAAACAAGCTCTGTTGGTGGAAAAAAAATTGAGCCCAAATAATGTGCCTCTTTTTTTTTTTTTTTTTTGGTTGCCAGTCAGGGCTTGTGCACTACGGAAGCCCTGAATGGCAAAAAAAAAGAAAAAAAAAAAAAAAAAGAAGCACATCATTTGGGCTCTGTTTTCTAAGTGTTTTTTTTTTCTACCAACAGCTCCCCAAAAGAAACAAAACAAAAACTCTTGCCTTTTTTTTATGTTTGTTTTTTAATATTTATTTTATTGTTATTTTTGCACAAACATAATTAAATTTATTTAAATTCTTTTACTGTTGCTGTGGCCAATGGGAAAAACAAAAATTGAAAATGGACCCCAAATGACGTGTCGTTCTTTTTTTTTTTTTTTTTGCTTGCCACTCAGGGCTTCGGTACCAAAGCTAAAAATGAAGCTGTTGTTTTCAAGTTAACGTCTCCTTTTACCTTTAGTTCATTAGAGATTGGAAATTCTGAAATCATCCAAATGGTTCTAGTCAAGGTGTATGGAGCACTTCCTGTATTACCACATGACATCACAAGGTGGAACTGAGTGTTTTCTGTTTGAGAGAAGAGCAGGGTTTGTGTGTTAGACGTGTGTGACAGCAGAGGGGTGAGCTCGATTGCCTTATATGGGCGCAGAGGCGACAGGAAGGAGATGGATAAAAGTGAAGTGCAGAGGACTGACGGATGGAGACAGCAGACTGACACAGACCGAGTATGGACCCTCCTCATTATGAACTATGTAGACGTTTCTGATTGAACAGAGACATTCGTGGGTTTCAGAGTGAAGAAAATCTAGCACTGTTACCATAGCGATTAACAGTTTTAAAAAAAATCTACATCTGTTGGTATGGACACCGTTTGTGGATCTGAGTGAAGTTGGACTACTGTGATTTCCCAGTGTTTTTGTGTTTTCTTTGTGTTTTGGGTCGGGTGTCAGAGTTTTTTATTATATTATTATTATTATTATTACTATTCTTTCTTTCTTTTTTTTTCTTGTCTGTTGGTTGTTTTTGTTATGTTTAAATTCTAAAAAATGAAAAAAATATATTATGTATTTATAGAAAAAATTGGCATCTTTTGAATGAACAATGACTAAGCTAAAATGGTCCATGTACCATTCTTTCTTTTGAATTTCAATTAAGAACCAACTTCCGGGACAAATAAACCAGAAAGAATAAAATCTCAAAATTAAAATAGACACGCCAATCCATGTATCATTCCTTCATTTGTTTTTCAATATAAACGAAAAATAAGAAAATGAAAAAAACAACCATTTTCTTCATTATTTGTCTCCAAAAACAAAATGACAAAAAAGATAACGATTTGTTTTTTCAGTTTTAAATTTTTATTTTTTATTTTATTTTTTTTTCGTTTTCATGACTTAAACTGCAATGCCGAACTTTTGCACCACATACGGACTGAACCAGGACTAAACCAGGTCCGGGACCAGACTGGAACCAGACCAGGACTGAGGCCAGAACTTAGACCGGGCCTGAGACCAGGACCAGTCCAGAACTGAGATCAGGACTGAGGCTGGGAACAGGACCAGGACTAGGCCTGGACTAAGACTGAGACCAGGACCAGACCCGGACTAAACCGGGACTAAGACCAGGACCAGACCAGGACTGAAAACGGTTTAGTCCTGTTTTAGTCCTGGTTCAGTCCTGGTTCAGTCCGGCATCGCAGTTTAAGTCACGGAAACGGGAAACGGTCATTATCTGTTTTGTTTTTTTCCCATCATTCATTTAAACACAAAACTGAAAACTGAAAAAACAAATCATTATCTGTTTTTTCATTTTGGTTTTGGAGACAAATCATGAAGAAAATAGTTGTTTTTTCATTTTCTTATTTTTGGTTTTATTTTGAAAAATTAATGAACGAATGTTGTTGTTGATTGGTGTGATTTAAAATAAACTTTAAATTAAATATTGGAAATAGATGTTGAAATCTGTTTTTTTGTTTGACACTAAAACAGAAAAATGAAATAACAAACTGTTTTCCCATTTTATTGTTGTTCGTTCTTAATTGAAATTCAAAAGAACGAACGATACACGAACTTAAAAACGTTGTATTTAAACATGTTTCAAAAAGGAAACAATAAATTAAAAACATTTTCTTCTGACTTACAAATTAAAACTCAGAAGCTCTGTTTGTAGTACAGTTGTCAGGGATGAAGTGCTGGTATTAGATATTGTTTTCCCACTGATCTGAAGGTTGCCGGTTCGAATCCCGCTGTCGTTGTCGTTGTCCTTTGATGTAAAACGCTTTGAGCGCCTTGAAAGTGGAAGAGCGCCGTCTATGAACGTGCCCATTTACCGTTTTATTTCTGGAGATCTGGAGATGGTTGCATTTCTTTGACAAATACAAGCTTCACTTTTTTTTCATTTTTAGCCTTTTTATCCTCCGTAAATCTCTCTCTATCTTTCAGTTTGCGTTCCAAGCCTTCCATCCTCCTCCTCCTCCTCTTCTTCTTCCTGTAATCTCCGACCTCAGTGGCTTCTCTGATTACAGGCAGATGAAAATACGCTGTTTACTGAGCGCGTGTGAAGGCGCTCTTTAACCATGAT